GTGCAAACTGCACAGGTGGTAGTGTTTGATGGGGGGAAACGGAAGATGAACGTGGAAAGAAAGACAGCGGGACAGGGGAAGAGGCTTTGGGGACAGGTTCTTACCATAGTCCCAGAAGGGGGGGCCGCTGGGAGGTGGTGGTGGTGGCCCCCTGCATGCCATGCCTTTGCTGTTGCCGCTGGCAGGCTGGGCACCCTTCGTCCCTTCGTGGCCGCTCTTTTCGGGGGCACTGGCCGCCCCCGTGGCCACCCCAGGTCCTTCACCCCGGGGAGCAGGCCCTGCAGCTGTTCCAGCCGGAGGGTCAGGCACCTGCTGCCTCAGGGCCTTCTGGGCCACCATGATCTTCTGGCGTTCGGTGATGAGGGCGCACTTGTCGCACAGGCAGAGCTTCCAGGGACAGTGCCCGGCATGGCCCTTCACCGGCACCACAAAGCCATGGTTACGGCAGCGGGAGCACTTGGGCGTTCGCAGTGCCACCTTTGCCGCTGCAGCCTCCTCGGCCTCCATGGCACACCACCTGGCTAACCACCCTGGCACACCTGGGCTGGCTCCTCAGGACTCTTATATAGGGCACGGCCACTGCTGCCCGGCATGTAGCAACTTGGGCAGGCGGGGCAGGAGAGCCCATGGCAGTGGGTGGGGAATGCCCTAATCTGGGGAGCCTGTGGTACAGGAGCTGTCTTGGCCTCACATGCCTCCCCTCTCTCAGCCAGGCATGGCTGTACCTGCCCCCCTCCCCCTGCAAGCCTCTTGGTGCGGGCTGGAGCCAGACCTCAGCCATGGAGGGCTGGAGGAAGAGAGAGAGCAGGGCCTGCGTCTGCAAGAGCGGGGGAGAACATGCTGCACATTTTAGTACATTTCCCTGTGCTGGTGCATGCAGATGTGGGCAGTTTTGGACAGGCGGGGTGTGCATGGGAGAGAAATGCAGTGTCCCTTACAGTCCTGCCTTAAGTGATAGTTTTCCCTTTTGGCACTTCAACATCTGCACTCACTTTTTGTACCTCTCATGCATTTGCTTTTAATACGCACAGGATTTCAGTTCCATTTTGTTTCCAATTTGCAGCGTGCTTCTCTTGATCAGGAGGAGTGAGTGCCTCAGCAGAAAAAAACCCCACACTGTTTCATCATTCTGTTTTTCAAAACAAGGTACTAAGATGAAGACGGGAAGCATATGTCATTTGAAAGACCTGTCTCCTTTTCTTGGAATTCCTCATTCTCTGGAAACAAAGACAGGCTTTCAATTAGAAATAAAGGAATGCTCCAGTTCCAGTATTGCTTAGAAAGCACGTGTTATTTTTTTACTGCTGGTAGCTACAAAACCATATTTTACACAGTAAAACTGCCTTAGCAGTGAGCAGCCAGCCTGTGTGCCCTGTAAGCCCCCAAGGCTCAGCCTAGATTCAGGCTTCTGCCTTTGCAAAAGACCAAGTAGGACTTTGCATCTGAGTTCTGCAGGTTTCCCGTAGGATTTTGTCTCCTGGGGAGATGCTTTCGTAAATGCAATACTGGCATACAAGCCCAGACTTGCTCTCGAAAGCAATTCAGACCCAAATTCTCAAATGTACCCAATCCTAGGCCACCCAGCACAGCAGCAATCCCAGCCTGCAGATTTTTCTATCCCAGTTGCAGACTGTGTCTTTGGAAGCTGCTTTTTGTGAGGGGCTCTCAGCCATGCCTTTGCACCCATGCAGTCAGGGATCCTGTTTCCTAGTTCAGAAAGGTACTCGTTTGATATGCCTTAAATAGAAGCTAATCTTAAATGCAGTTTTGAAGCTAGTCTTAAATGCAGTCTTGAAGAGCTGCTTGCTTGTGCCAGGGTCTGTGTGTTCCTGTAATCATTCTAAACATTGATTCTGTATTAAATATAGACAGATAATATCTTCCTAATTTTATGCTCCATATTTTCGCTGTATGTTGAGGATGTGCATATTTAGCTGTAGAATGAAATAGGATGGATGACACATTTTTAAAAACTGTAATTATATCTTTCCATAGATACACAGTCTGTGTTCATTTGGATCCTTAAGCAGTGGAGGAGAAAGGTAGGCTATGTACATTTTCCCCAGTAATTTTTCTATTCTGAGTCACATAATACTATTATTCGAGACATTAACTCAAACCTACTTGACTTTATCTCTCTTCTCTCTTGCAAAAGGTATACCAGCCATGGGCTGTGACAGTTCCTCCACTAATAAACCATATCTTTCAAAGTCATGTAGATTTTTTTTCTGAACAATTTTCACCTAAGCATTCAGGATTTATTATACTTTCCATATAGTTTGTTTGAAACATAACTAGACTTGCTTTTTATAGAAAAGTGAACATTTCACTTTGCTTGTGAGGTAAATATTTATTTCTGCAGACAGTTCAAAGAATTCTGCTCTTCCAATCCTGTTATGTGTCTGTATATATATTTGAGTTAGCTTATCACACACCATTAGCAAGACCATCACACAGAGAAGACAGAACAATTTCAAAATAAATTTTTGGAATGAAATGTAGTATTGCATGTGGATGCAGCTTCACGTCTATTATGATTTTCTCCTTTATTCATATTTGAAAGTGAGGCATAATAAAGTCTTTTCTATAGAACTTACTCAGTTTACTCTAGCGTTTTATGTAACATATGGTGGGAGTGTAACACACAAGTGTGTACAGAATTCTGTATTAAAATAGCATTTACAAGAATTATTAACTTGCCAAAATGAAAGGAAAGCAACCTGCTGATTTCATGTTATTGAAATCAATAGCAATAATGTCTCTACTTCTTTCCAACTTCTGAATGATATAAAGTGTGTGGTTTTGGTATGCAGTTTGCTTTGTACATGAAACAGTGAAGAAAAACAATGATTTAGCTAAAAGGGAACAAATCAAAAGACTGTCTGCCTTTAAACCTAATAGCAGAAAATTGGGTTTTGTTTTTTTCCTCCTCCTAATGTTCCTTAGACATTCCAGCTAACATTTTATGCAGTAAATGTTTTTTGGCAAGGAAACTGTACTGCTTAGATCTGACATTTCACAGAGCAATAGCAACAAAATCAAGAAATTTTTCAGTCCAAGATCTCCATTAACAAGTATTTGCAAACTTGTTTCAAAATTAATGTTTTCTTATGCATAACAATCAAAACTATCTTTTGAATTTTTAAGACATCACACATATGAAGATAAAATCCTCTCTTCAAGAATTTTATTAGTAGTTTGGAAGTGTCCATTATGTACTGCCATAAGTCATTATATAAAAATTGACATAGTGATAGTATTATTAGCTCTTCTACATTATAACAGATTGCTTATGGCTATCAGTACAGTATAATCAACATGAGGACATTTACCTGCATAGGCAGAACTCCCCAAGGATAACTAGCCAGGCTTCAGATGCTCCACACCCAGCCCCCTTCTGTTATCCAGTCTTAACAAATACCTTCACTCCACCTGTGGATGGGCAACCGCTCTCCTGGCATCACTCACTCCTGGGGTTACAGGGAGAATGCTGTGGCTTCCTACACTGGCTGATGAGCTTTCTGATCCCTTACCAATCCCTTACCAATCCCTTACTCAAGTCAGGTCTGGCCCGTAGGCCGGCAAGAAGTCTTCCCCAAATTGCCAAGGGACATCAGTACTCCCTTCCCTGTCTTGTAGCTGGGAAGAAGCTGTTTTACCTCCTTGCATGTCCCTGGTGTGTTCGTTCATTAAAATATAGCTTTGTTATCTCCACCCTATCCTGCAGTCATATGTCTCTTCTGTCTATCCACATGGCCAGAAAACCAGGCTTCCTTCCTCTCCTGTCTAGGTTAGGATACTGCAGTATCCTTTCCTCTGAACTCCACATACGCAATCTTTTCCCAGTCTTACACACTCAGAAGCCTTCAGCAAGGACTTTTCTGGATTATGTCATGCATCCCTTTGCCTTCGTCCCATTTCTTTTTTGCATTAGTTACATCCTGCTTCTCTTCCTTTTCACAAGGAAGAAAAATCCCTTTCACATTTTATCCATGTCATACCTATCAACTCACATTCACTGTCAAGATGCGGACTCTCACCTTCACCTGGCCCAGGATATCATTTTACTAAGTAGCATCGATAGCATACCTTCATGCTTTCTTCTGTAGTATCCTCACATTTAGAAGCTCTCTATAAAAAACATCAAAGCTTTTAAACCTCCCTCTGACTGACCTGCATTACAAAATCTCCCTTTCACCATTGAGCTAACACTAGCACATATCCATCAGTGGTATCTGTCACAAAACTGCAACGTTCAGCTATCTGCTGACATGCTTATGAGGTTGTCTGCTCCTGCCCAAAGCAAGCCTACATGACAATGAATAAAGTTCTTTGAGTCACTTCTCTAGACTGTATTTTCCACCTTTCTAATAACTGTGAAATTGTACTGTGGTAAACATTTTTTTAAAATGTGAGGAAAAGCACAGTACAGAAACAATTCAATATGATTAGATCATATCTCGCTTAAGTTTTGAAATGGCTAAAATGTGTTTGGATTACACTGTTTTTAAACCTGGTCCCAGTTAAGTTGTTTAAATTGATATAAACAGACTCACCTTTTCAGGTTTCTTTCAGGTTAATTCCTTTACTTTAAAATGTTGGCTTCAGTAATTCAAACAGGAATTCCACTGGGGCAGATTTTTTTGTGGCTGTTACACAAGTTCTAAATGGAGCACAATTAGATGTGTCAAAAAGGTGAAACTCTATGCTATGATCAGAGAAAATTCAGTGGAGTTCATACGTATGTTTAAAATCTTAAAAATTTATAAAAGTTCTATAAAGCACTTCTGGTTTCTTTAACAAACACAACTAAAATAAAGCTTGAGTACTTAAAATTGTGGATCTTTTTAATATATAAAAGGAAAACTTAGTTCTTAAATATTAACAACAGAGACTTTATTAGTGTGACTGCTGTTTGTTTATTGTAACAAGATCTTTATTTAAGAGAAAAGCAATAGTGATTAAACTGGAAAGTCTCTGATCTGGTTATTTCATGAGGGCAGGGTGGACCAGGAGAGAAATCAACCCCAGCAAGCAAACAAAACACATAACATTTCTTATTCTGCATTAATGTATCTCTGATATAAGCAGGAAATAAAATGCATTAAGGGGAAAAGAATGAGACAGACATAAATACACAGATGCAGATCCTTTCCCCAAATAAGTGATGGAGTGTTTAAAAATCTTTATCTAGAAAAAAAATAGATCTATGCCAAAAACCTTCTGTGGAAGATGTTCAGTCATTTTGCAATAAATAAGGATCATTGTATCATCGAAGCCTGATTGTTTCCTTATGTTCCTCTGTCTAAGAAAATAATTATGCCTTCAGAAGAAATCTTTTGTTTCTTTAGAAGGTCACCTTTGTAGACATTAATAAAAAAGAGAAACTGCAAACTCAAATAGTCCGCTTTGTTAGTGCTATGGCAGCTGCAGGGATGCCTTAGTTACAACACTATTTTACTTTAGTAAGCTCCCAAATTTAGTGGGTTTTAGCCTGGATACCACTA